ATATATATATATATATATATATATATATATGAGTAAACGTATTGTTAGGGTTGTTTGTTTACCTCTTAATATTTCCATTAAAAGACAACATCTGAATCGTTAAGAGGTGAATCTTGTTTGGCAAGAAAAAAGTTTGCCTCTTAATGGTTYCAAAACTCTCTGAATGATTTTGTATCATGGATCTCCCTTAACCATTAAGAGCTCTAATTTCATTGTACATAATTACCAAACAATTATATTTCGTTTTGCACTAAATCATGAGAGCCTCTTAATCATTCTGACCACTTAATCATTCTGCACCAAACCATTCAGCAATTGCCAAACAGCCCCTTAACAAAAACCGAGTATGTTAACACATCGATGAACGTAAATCCTATATTCGAAACTTGTTGGTTTTATCCTTTTTTGTTGTTGGTCATGTGAATTACTAATAWCTGAAAATTTTATTTGTTTTGAATATGCGTTTACTAACATAGAGGAAAAGAGAGAGAGYAAGTGACGAGGGAGTAGACATGAGCATTTTGAATCAGACTAGACCATGACCTCATGATCATTCTACGCCCTTAATCGGTGCGAACCAGATTTGTTGGAGGGCAGTTAGATATACAAAGACCGGTCTTAATCGGATAAGATAAAGTCGGGTTAGGTTTCTAATTTCCTTTTTGTTTTTGTTTAAGTGAACCAGAACAACCTTTATCGGAGTCTCTGCCGTGATATGCTTTCCAACATGTTTCACCGACAGCTTCATAGATCCCTCTRATGGAAAGCTTTACTACGGCATTGACACCTTCAAAGGGTTTTATATATTTGATTATGGAACTCGCCCCCGTTGCTGTGATCAAGAGGATGAGGATGAGGAGGGGTTGAAGAGATTCAAAATCAGTGGCATAGATATCGGTCACGCTTTTCTTTCGCTTATTGTGTTCTTGGTGTTTGCTATAAGCGATACCGACGTGCAAAGCTTGTTGTTTCCTGAATCGGAGGCCAATATGAACGTTTTGCTGATGAATTTGCCGTTGAGTGTTGGGGTTTTGGCAAGCTTTCGTTTYACCATCTTTCCGACAACACATAGAGGGCTCGGTTACACGGATTTCCCTCTTCATACTAAATGAGTTCCATTGCAATCAGGGCTGGCTCAAAGMTTTTTAATGCCCTGTGCTGAAACGTCAAAACATGCCCCAACCAGGAAAAAAACGCAAATATATTTTAGGATTTGTGTAAAACTGTTGAAATGGTGTTGGTCCATATCTAATCATTTGCACAATTTCTTCCGACAAAATGGTGTAAAACTTTGTATTTCTTTT